ACACACACACACACACACACACACACAAATAAAAACATTACTTACTAGGTCCTATGGCATAAAATATGGCATGCATGTCATTTTCTGTATTGTCATAGCCATGTTGACCTCTCCAATTGTGAACAACAGTTTTATTATGTTCATCTGTGTCATTAAAAGTCAGCATATTCGGAGATGCAAACTGAAACAAAAAACAAAAACACTTCATTTATAAGTCATCACATATATAAAAGAGTTCATCATGATTATACTGATTTACATTGGACATTCACACTGGCTTCAAATGTAACTTTAAGGACCATATGTAACTCTGAAATACATCAGACTATCTCAGTCCACTTACTAGATTATGAAAATACAGTTCTGAATGCGTAAGAAATATATATTGCAAACAATAGGAATTAAAAAAGGACACAAAAATTATAACTGAAGTAATCTCATTTTCAAAACAAATATGGTATTCTGTTATTTTATGAACATCTAGGTATTACTCATAATTTAGTTTAATCCTTAATCGTACCGTTGTCATATGGTTGCCAATATCTGCCATGACAACTACTGGAGCAATCCTGCTGTGATTGTTATAAAAGAAACGCTTTGGAATATCCTTTTTCAGGTAAGCTGTAAAATTTCTCTCCCCCCATGATGCATTGTTTAACTTGTTCACTAACTGAAAATAATACCAATTGAAAATATTACTGAATCATGAATACGTATCATGGTATAAAAGCCCTTTTTCAGTCTCCATTTGTATCCATTGTAAAAGTGTACTCTGTATATACACATATGAAAATGTACAAAAGGTACATGAATGCTTCAATAAAAACATCCTAAAAAGCTAGCAATCTTTCCCAATTAAGACCTTAAAAATAAAGACCTTCACAGTCAACAGTGACTTTGACCTTGACAGTCCACATGAATCACAGTTCATTTACTGTCAAATTATTTAACAAGAATCACACATCCAAGCAATCATGTGAGTGGGAGAAAATAACTTTTTTTCACAAGGAAAAGCTTAAATTTAGTGAGAAATCCCAAACAGAGTACTTTTAGCTGTACGTCAGTTCTTGACATGTTTATCTAAGGACGGAGGAGTATAACAAAAGTTTAGAGTCAAATGCATTGTGTTAGTTGTGAATCAGGATAGCAGAGAACAATCAACTTGACTCACCTCAGCTGCATCGATTGCTGGCCATAGTTCTACATTTGCACCATTGTTTAATGAGCCCTTGATGGGAAAACTATCCAGGTCACTCAAGTCCATCCTCTGGGTCAAGTTAACAACCTCACCAACCAAAGTCATACCTAGAAGCAACTCGGATAAGGTGTTTCAGTTATAAAGAGCTATATTTACCATGAAATACAGACAGACAGAAATAAGAGAAAGAGTCATCAAATACCCAAAGGATTTAAGTAAAATTTCACAAAATTTCTACTCACCGTGATCTGCCAGTATGATAATATTCAAATTTTCCCTCATGTCACTTGTGATGTTCAAAAGTTCAGCTACTGCACCATCTAACTCCCGTAAGGCGGTGTTTAACTCCCTCCCATCAGGGCCGTACAGATGTCCAAAATGGTCAATTGAACCATAATACACACCTGAAATACAAAACAAACACAATCAACATGTACAAAAGACTATCAAAATTAGATATGACTAATCCTTTTTTTTTTTTTTTACTTTTTTAAAAATAAATCCCTTTTCATCTTTATCTCACTTTTTCTTGTATCTGCAACTTTGAAAATCATCACATAACTGCTTCTGAATCAATGAAGCTTAATTTAAAAGCAAACTGCCCCCCCCAAAAAAATATCTCCAAAATATCTGATAACTCCCTTTGACAAAGATTGTTACCTACTCCATACTGAGCAAACAAACTTTTGACATGATAGTCTATGCGTACAACCTTACACCTACCCACAAAATCTGCTGAATTATTCCTCAGTGAAGCTACAGCCTCCTTAAGGTCTTCTTTCAGGCTGGCGCCATTTTGTAAAGGTTCTTGTGACCACTCCCTACACACGGAGGGTTTGTACTGATGTATGGTGACATTACATGTTGGCCAGGATAAAAGAAAACTTTTCTTGCCCTGTAAAAAAACAGAAATTGTGCAGAAGAAGCTAAAATTTTTAGACATTTGGACCTGTCCCAAAGTAACAGGTTGATATGTGCATAACATACTTTGTCACATTTTGATAAATGGTGTAAAAACATTGATAAACATTGACAGACAATTAACATACAGGACAAAAGAAAACACTAGTTTGATGACTCTGAAAGCACTTTAGTGAGAAGCCCATAAGAGTTAGATCACTCTAGCTAGCATGATGGGTTTATGGGAACGCAGTCTTACCGACAAAGGAGACACCACACTCAGTGAGTGAATCCCAANCATTGATAAACATTGGCAGACAAGTTAACATACAGGACAATAGAAAATACTAGTTTGATGACACTGAAAGCAGTTTAGTGAGAAGCCCATTAGAGTTAGATCACTCTAGTTAGCATGATGGGTTTATGGGAACGCAGTCTTACCGACAAAGGATCGAGACACTAGACTCAGTGAGTGAATCCCCACATCTCCTTCACTTACCTGTCTCTCAACGCCAATCCATAATGGTTCAGCATCTTCCCACCAGAATGAATCATAAGACTCTGGGTTGTTGCCAATGTCAAATGTTTCATTTTTGACTAAATCATACATGAAGTTGGATACCATGCCATGGTTCTCACAATGTAAACCTGAAACAAGGAATTGGTTCATATGGCAGTCAGTCAGACAGACAGATATATTACATACCACACAATGAGAGAGAGAGAGAGAGAGAAAGAGGCAAAAGACTTCGACACTTGCACATAAAGATTTAAAAAGCAAAAAAGGAGATGGAGAACTACACAAACACAGGACTTTAAATGGCAAACATATGTTGCATGCATGTTTCACATTGATCTTAACAATATTCTGTATAGAATTCACTCTCATTTCTGCCATTTCTGCAGGTCTGTCATTACATAAATGTTGTCACAGAAAAAACAATGACAAACATTGCAGACAGCATGCCTGTATGGATTAAGAGAAATCAAAAGGAAATTTCATGTTATTTTGTTAACCTTGGTCATCCTATTTTCATTTCTGCTTAAAAGGCTGTTTTTATTTTGTGCAACGAATTTTAATCTTGATAATTAACAACCCTGATCTAGAGGTAGAGGACAGAGACTTAATTGTGTTGCCTAAGTTAGGCTAAAGAACCAGGAATTTCCAGGTGTTACTAAATACCAATTAAAATACCAAAAACTACATGCTCACCTCTGTTGCAGCTGCAAAAACATTTCTCTTCCACAGATCTTGATATCAGCAGAAACATTCTTTTGAGTTCAAGATAAATGTAATTTGGGGTGCAGAAAAAAGGGTATTTTTATGTAAAAATATCTTTAGGTAGTATTTCATGATATTCAGAGTGGAATGAGGTCTTACCCACAGTGTGAGAACCTATTGTAATTGAGGCAAAAGCAATGCCCACATAGAATCTGTACTACGCATACCATGTATGTCCATGTGGCAGCTGATAATTAAGGTCTTTGTGAAAAAAAAGTAAATAAATAAAATAAAAGGCTTGCACAATGTCACAGGTAGATATCTACCGGTATACTTGGTGTTTGCGAAAAGGGGGCACTGTGTATCTAGAGGGAGTGATGCATGAATTCCCGAGTGCAGACACATGAATACTAATTAGATTAGTGCAACTTTTCCCACATGGTTGGTTGCACGCAGGGTCACATAACTTTCGTTTCATTACTAAGTACAGTGGAATAATAATAATAATAATAATTAAAGATTATAACAATTCCTAGATTCAATAATTAACACAACTGTCCAACCTGCAAAGCCACAGAGAGGGATTAATAACTTAACATACCTGTCATAATGGAATAATAATTGGGATAAGATGAGCTCGGAAAATTGGGTCGCATTTTCGTCGCGCGGGCACCTTGTATTTCTATCTGTTTGAAGGCAGGTAGGTTCTCTCTGTCGGCGTAATCCCATCTCATGCCGTCCACGAGTAGAAGTAGTAGCTTGTTCGCTGACAGGGTTACCCTCAACGAACAAGATATACACAGAAACTGAAAAACAAGCAGGCGCCATCGATCACAAGTCGCCATTCGTGTTGTCTTGTTTCTATTTCTTTACATGAATTAGGTCAGGTCATGAGAGGGAAATGGGGTCAAGAGTCAAGAAGGGCATGTTGGCGCATGTGCAGTAAGCGTGCCTTGGGTGGCGTTGATTCAGATTTATTTTTTGTGGTGTCGTATGAAAATACCGTACTATTGGATAAGTTTTGATAAATACAGTATATGTATTTAAAGGTTATTACACATGACCTTGCTAAGAACGATCTTTATTTTGACTTTTTTTTTTACTTTCTTCATTTTTAATGGAGAAACTCTTTATTGCCTACGTGTTAGACCCTTGAAACGTGGACAGAATTTTGGCCGAACAGTCATGCCAATTAAGTGAATCCCCAGCCCGATCCCCATTGAAAAATAAATAAATAAATAAATATATAAAAGTTGTTTAGGAGCCAAATGACTGATATAAAAAATTCGTTTCTATATTTTAGGGTCCTGTTCTGATATTTCGAAAGCGGTGAACAAAACGCGAAAATTAATTAATCTGCTTCAAAAGTTTGCAATGTTGCAAGTCTCCTAGAACTTTGAATTTTTTTCAAAATCCTCAATAATAATATATGCAAAACATAATAAAAAACACATTGCTCGGCCTATTAATCATTCAAATCGACATTTTTGTAGAGACTATATATACTGTATATTGGCCTAGCTAGGTCGAACACGTTTCAGAACAAACACTGAAATCTCAGGGTCCATATGTCACAAGTTCGTATACAGTAGGCTGTTGGTAAACATATTATCATAAGTTTGTTCCCTTGCTTTTTTTTTCTTCATATCACCTCTGAACTGTTACTCCCCTGCAGAAAAGATTCCCTTTGGTTAAAATGTTCCACCCAAAACGCAACTCTCATTAAAATGTTGGTGTTTTATTTATTGTAGGCCTAATTTTTTTTCAAAAGTACGCCTATCTGGGACTCAAAAGTGACATTTTTTAGAAAAGTCGTGAGAAAAAGGTCACTAAAACGGGGAGGCAGTGTTTCGTGGCAACTTCGCATGCAGTTCTACCTTTTTTTCATTTGTTAAGAAGTACCTGTAGGCCTTTTCTTCGTACTTCAACAGTGCCTGGGGTTTGCAGATTATGCCCACTCTCAATTAATAATTGTATTTGTTGAAAAATCAATCTTTTGCTTTTGCAGAAGGTAAGTAAATTAGCAATTTTTAATGCATATCAGCGAGTAGACAGCAAATTATTATACCCCTAAACCTGAGCAAATACGATAAATTAAAGAAATACAACGGTGAAATTTCGTTTTGAGCACTGTAGGGAAGGATAAATGGCCAACGTTTACACCCAGAAAATGGAAAAAGCTGCCGTTTTAAAGCCTTTTCGGCTGACCGGAAACGACATTCCAATAATAGAGTCGGTGGAAGTAATTTCTATTTTTGTTTCTAAACGTGTTTAACGAGCACAGCAACAAAATGTCAGAGTTGATATTCTTTTTTTTTTCTTTTTCAAATACTTTTAAAGGGAAAGAAAATCCACAGTTTGGGCGAATTAAGAGCAGTTAAGTTTTTCTCTGGATCAATTGTAAGTTTTCCCGCTTACCACACCAATACCCATACATTGGAAAACATAAGAGAAAAAAAACTGGGTAGATCGCAATTGTTTGACAATTATGTATGGCCTTGAGACAATTGTTCACTTTTTTTCGATGACTGGGAGAGACGACGAAGGGAAGTATCGGTGGGGGAGAGTCCGGCTGCGCGTATTACGATAATTTTACAGGGAGGGGATGTACCGATTCGGGGATCCATAGGTGTGGAGGCGTCTCGATGCAGGTTCATTTTTTCCCCAGTGATTACTCCGAGACTCATGAAAAATTACCTGGAAAAGGGGGGGGGGCGTGTGGGAGTTTGAGGACGTATAGAGCTTAACCCACAACTGGCGTCATGAAAAAAAATGAGACCTGAGGGATTTCACCATGTAACAGAAACATAACATATTTCACCTTTAAGAAGTTTTATTCTTATCCCTTACATTAATAAAAATAACGCAGGATACAATGAAATGTTTTGCAAATAAATAAATATCTTATCATTCATCAATATATAAGATGCACAAATATATATAAGTTTAAACTGTGACAAAGGTCAATAATATATTTGTCCCAAGTATTACAAAAGCATTACACACATCCAAAAATAAAACAAAAACAAACTTTCTGAGATAATGGAGACATCTTAGACATCTATGGCAACATCTTAGTAGATACACAAAAATGTGTAAAGACTACAAGTTTTAGTGTATTAAGTTTTGGCCCCAAATCATTCTGAACAATTTGACTTCTGACAACAGGTTTCCCCCCTCACATCACCTCTGATCTTGAGCAGGCAACAGATGTAAATTAATGGCTTTGACAGCTTTTTAAAACAACATAAAGGAAATAATTTTTTTCAAATTACTTGAACTTCGATAATCATCAAATTCCATTGTCTTGATTATGGAATATCTCAGCAATTACTTCGTGCACCGAAGCTTGAGAAAGGCAAAAAAAAAAAAAAAAAAAAAAAAGTAAAAATACCAAATAAATACATCATCAAATTCATAAGATAATTAAGCAAATAAATAGCTGATCAACTTGATTAATTGTTTGATGGCAGTCTAGAGTGTGACAGTGAGCAAGACATAAATATATGCATATCACTGAAATATAATATACCAACATACAAAAGCTTATAGCCATCATAATTAAATAAATAGGAAACTGAGCATGAGATTCTTATCTTGGCAAGCAAATGTAGCAATTAATGAAATATGAATAGTAATAATAATGCATATCAATAATTAACACCCTAATGCATATCAATAATTATCACCCCAAGCTGTACATTCATCTCTTTTTCTTGGATAATTCTGATAATGACAATAAAATGTTGCTACTGCTAGTAATATCACATAAGATTTAAAGATGTGATATTCTATATGATATATGACAATAATAATTATCCTTGGCCATGAAACAGTAGCTAATCTGGTTCCCCTCACAAGACCATCGGAATATTTCTATAAACTGCATATGTGAGTCATTGATAATAAGGTTCCAATACAAAATTATCAGTTAAAACTTCCGCATGCTATGAAAAGGAGCTCTTTTGGAAGTTATTATTTATCTCAGGGTGCTGAGTGCTGGGGAACATGTATATGCATAAATGTACATTATCATGTTAAAACATATTCCCTGAATCCACAAAAATCCCAGGATTCACCCATAAAGAATAAAAATACACATACTTATCACAGGCCAAGGTAACTTATATGCTCACAAGCTCCAAAAATGGTCCTGAAAATAAGGAGTATAAATATCAACTTTTAATCTAGCTCATCTTTGAACAAAACAACAACTTCATTTAATCACTATCAACACATACCACCTCATCTTGGAATGTTTGTAAAAGATGCCGTATATTCTAAACACTTAATTGGTAAAATAATTTGTTTGCTGAATAATGTACAGTATACATCTAAACCCACTTTTGTCCACAATCAAGAGAAAAAAAAATTAAGCCAACCCTTAATAAAATAAGCATCATTCCAATAAACAAAGATTTACACTAATTGCAAATGAATCAACTGAAAAAAGAAATTGTTAAGAAGAAAGACATTAACAAATGACTGACATTTATAAAAATAGTTTTCCCCAATGTAAAATCTTATTTCTGTGGCTCTTCATGAAGTGATAGATTACTATGAGATTCCTTTTCCCCAAATAGACATACATTTTATTATCATGAAACAAGGTTCAGCTTAAAAATACTTAAATTATAATTGTACAAAACCCTTACTGTTTGCTGCAATGTTTATTTGTCAAATTATTTTTTAAAACTATCAACAAAATTTTGTCTTAGCTCTACAACAGTATCAATCTGGCATATATGACTGCAAAAATGACCTAGATAAGAAGTAGATTAAGAAAATATTTTCCACAAGAACAGTGACCTTCACCAAGAAAAACATCCTCTCTTCTGGCAGAGACAAAATAAATGAATACATAAATAAATTAAGAATGCTCCAATATTCCCAGGAAGAAATAACCTCCTCCAGTGGGTGAAAATATTGCTCCTTTATAGGTCCCTGTCTGTATATTCTGTCCTCGAAAAAGAGAAATCGTTTTTCAGATAAGCAAGATCATCATATTCTCTTTTTCGATATCTGGAAAAGAAGGTATAGTGTTACCATGACAACAGGTCATCACCATAAAACAAGCCAAGCAATAATTATTAAACTGAAGCCATTGCGTAAAAATAGTGCATAAAAATCTGCCCAGAGCTGAAAAAATTTTGATTAAAATAAATAATTTTTAAATTTTTTAAAAATAAATATTTAGAAATTTGTCACACTTTTTCATTTTCTAATGTCTCTGATTGGCTTGTGGCATGAATTATAGTCAAATGATGTTGACAAAAATGTAAGCCTCAAAAGCCAACATGAAGGCAAGTTGCGTGCTTTAAGCAAAAAAAAAAAATCTGTTTAAGAATGACAAAAAATGCAATCAGGTACTTTTTCATGGCTTATGGTCAATAATTTTTATTTCTTTAAAATACACTGATAGATATCAAGTACTCACTTTTTGCAAATACACACTCCTACAATAACCAGTACCACTACAATCAACAGTCCTAATATTACAAAACCAGCATTGACTCCACCACCTGAAACATAGATTTCTGCTGTAAATTGGTGTGACAATATTTTTAAATATATTTATTTTTTATTTTCAAATATTTTTTTTTTCATTTTTAAATATTTTTAAATATTTCATAAAAGAAATACGTACAGAGCACTTAAGACGCCCCAACCCAGTATTTTATTCTTTTCTTTTCACTTTGAGGCTTTGTTCACATGCAATGTCTATTTTCTAAATTCTATTTTCTATTCGCGGTATGTCTTATGATCAAGGTCTGTGCCCCGAATATCCCGCGGCGTAATTACTGGCAGCGCGAGCCAGTTACTATAAGTAACTGGCTCGCGCTGCCAGTAATTACGAGGCAGGATATTCAGGATACAGACCGTGATCATAAGATAGCGCGAATAGAAAATAGAATTTAGAAAATAGACATTGCATGTGAACGAAGCCTGAGATAGGGCTCATAAATTAAACAACCACTTTGCTTGAAAAACAAAAGAGGGGAGGAGGGGAGGGGAGCCCTGGGCACTTTTGATTACTCTAAACAGATTAATTCCATATTAATAAAATGACAATTTATGACAATTATCATAATATATACTCACTCTGCGGGTGTAAGGTTGGAGACAAAGTTGAAGATACTGATGAAGTTGTACTCTCGGGTGGCGATGTTGATGTAGTCAGCTGGTCAAACATGGTCAAAGTTCTCATAGCTGCCCAGGATCCATTATTAGCTGCTGCTTCTATCCCAAGTATCTTACACATTACCTGATACACGTCTGTGTTATTGATGAGATCCACTTTAGAGTTGGCGTTAAAATCTGAAGTGTTGACAAACAGTCTAACATACAATGTCTACATTCTATAATTGCCCCTATCAGTGTTCATGTTCAAAATGATTAATTATGGGGGCTTAAAATCCTTGGAAAGAAGGGGGATGTGGTCTTTCTCTTTTTGTAAATTAATTACTGGGAGTGGAAATGAATCAAGTTTTGCAAGAGTTGTAGTTGAAGGTTCAGCCCCCTCACCCCCCAATCACCCAAACTTCTTTTGGGATAACTTACTGGGTCCTATGGCATAAAAGATGGCATGCATATCACTTTCTGTGTTGTCATACCCATGATATCCTCCCAAATTCCGAACAACAGTTTTATTATGTTCATCTGTGTCATTAAAAGTTGGCAAATTTGGAGATGCAAACTGAAATAAAGAACAAAATCAATGTCCATTTTACTAGGCATCAATCATATGTACTCAGTGTAAAAGGTTCCTTCCTGACCACACTCAGCTCAACTGGTATCATAGACTGGGTTCCCACAGATTTAGATCGATCCATCTGGATCAACCTAACTCCCTGGGGGTCCACGCTAAATTGCTGTCAGCCGAGCGTGCACGTAAGCCAATTACCCCCTTACAGCCTTTAGTAGGCAGCTAGGACAGACATTTAAGCCAGCTAAGCTGACACCAATCTAGCGAGACTCCCCACAGGGATAGATTGATCTAAAAATCTGTGGGAATGCAGTCATAAGATCACTTATAGGAAGACCCTCCAAAAGTTATCATTAGAATTACATATCATAATATCAACTTTACATGTATATTGAGACAATTAATAGTTTTCCATTTAAAGCCAAGGTAATCTTACATATATTCATAATAAAATATGGTTTTCAACATATTCTATGAATGTCTAGAAAGAATTCATGTTTTATTCTTCACTGTAAATCATACCGAATTGATATAGTAGCCAATATCTGCCATGACGACAACTGGAGCAATCCGTCTGTGATTTTTATAAAAGAAACGCTCTGGAATATCCTTTTTCAGGTAAGCTGTAAAATTTCTCTCCCCCCATGAGTCATTGTTCAACTTGTTCACTAACTGAAAATAAAACCAACTGAAAATATTACAATATTATAAAAATATTACAATATTATAAAAGAAAGGCTCCAGAATATCTTCCTTTTGGTAAGCTGTAAAATGTCTCTCCTCCAATGAGCCGCTGTTCAACTTTTTCACTAACTGAAAAAAAAAATCAAAATATTGAAGAATGAGGATTTGTGATATGATTGCTTTCTTGTATTTTCAGGTTCTTGTAGGAGTTCAACTTTTTAAGCTTTGGATGCCTCTTGAAGCAATTTAGGAGGCTAAATCAACACCTACTATATATATATAGCTTAGATCATGATCGAAGAAGGTGTCCTTACAAAAACCAAAACAGTGGAGAACAGGAATTCTGACTTTCACTCTACACAAAAGACAGTTTTACAGTAACCAAGTAATTGATCAACTGGTTAAATTCTTACCTGGCAAAAAAGATATAACTGGTCATCTGACTTACCTCTGCTGGATCTACATGTATTTCTGGCCAAATTTCTACATTTGCACCAACATCTAATGAGCCCTTGATGGGAAAACTGACCAGGTCACTCAAGTCCATCCTCTCGGTCAAGTTTATAGCCTTAGTGAAGGATGTCATTCCTGGAACCAAATCAGATTATATACCTGCAATATGAGATCCATGGAGGGTGTGAATGTTTTCACAGAATATGATCATGACCAGTTATCAAAAACATCCATGCTTGACTATACATCCTATCATAATTTTTTTATTACTTATATTAATTGTTGCATTCCTACTATATCTTTGTTACCCTAACGAAAAAGTTAGGGCCAATTTCCTATAGGATCCTATAGGACTTTTTCGTAAGGGTAATTAACTCCATGATCAATGAAATGTGGCAAGAACTGAAAAGCAATATTGTTATCTGCTCAGGACACCATTCTTGTTGCAGTTTTAATTATTCAAGTACATGAGAGAGTCTTCAGCTTATTCTTCTGTACAGTTATTTCACAGAAATCCTGCAGATGCTCACACCTCTAAAAATACCAAATAAGAACCATGGGAAATTTATATATTTTTTATACTTTTTTAAATTACTTGGTTATTTTTTAACCAAGTTGACAAATTACAAATGGCATTACAGGATTACAACTGTATGACTTTGAAAGGCATACATATATCTTGTTCACTGCTGTTCAAAACAGTTACATTCAAATCACATACACAAGTACCGTACATTTGCAAAAGATGGCTGATAGACAGATGAGAAAAATAATCAAAAACCCAATGTTTTTAGAAACATTCCACAAAAAAAAAAACTACTCACCATGATCGGCCAGTATGATAATATTCAAGGTTTCCCTCATGTCGCTTGTAATGTTCAAAAGTTCAGCTACTGCACCATCTAACTCCTTTAGGATAGAATTCAACTTAGTGCCATTAGGGCCATACAGATGTCCAAGATGGTCAACTGAACCAAAGAAGACACCTGAAACACATCACAACAAAGACTTGTCAATAATTCTTTTCAACAAAGAAAGTAAATTCACTGAGCAAACAAATATTTGACATGCTACATGTATTAGAAGTCTAGCTGGGATAACAAACTTACACCTACCCACAAAATCTGCTGAATTATTCCTCAGTGAAGCTACAGCCTCCTTAAGGTCTTCTTTCAGGCTGGCGCCATTTTGTAAAGGTTCTGCAGAATACTCCCTACACACGGAGGGCTTGCGTCCATGTATACTGACATTACATGTTGGCCAGGATAAAAGAAAGCTTTTCTTGCGCTGTTTAAAACAGAAATTGTGTGCACAAAGGTCAAATGTATAAGTATACTGAACAAACTTGAATCTGTACCAAATGAACAGGCTGAGCAATCATTTGTTAGTAAGTAAAAGAGAAATCTGTTTTGTTTTTTTTTTACTTGAGGAAAAATCAATTATCTTCCCACATAAGATTAATTTTAAAGCACTTCCAAATTTTAACTTGTTTACATACAGATCTTTAGGGAAAAAACATGTTTTGTTTTATACATCTCTTTGAGCCATTGAGCATTTGAATACTGTCATGAACAAAATGTTTGACGGAAAGAACAAATCATTTCTTTTCTGGAGGGAAGAGGGTAGCGGGGAAGAATTAATGTGCCCCTTCAGTTTAATTCTCAATAAACCCTTGACATAAAAAACATGCAGTGTGTTTTAATGGCTAAGATAAAACAAATATGTTACACTAAAGCAGCTTTGGACCTATATACATATAAATATCTCAGTATCTGGATCTAAATATGCCAGAACATAATTAGTTAAGATATGGAACAGACCAAGTTAAATTTGATCGGGTACCAATGCTGAAAAAGGAGACACCTGCTGACCAGGGAGTAAATCCTAATATCTCCTTTACTCACCTGTCTCACAGCACCAATCCACAATGGTTCAGCATCCTCCCACCAGATTGAATCATGGGACTCTGGGTTCCTGCCCATGTCAAATGTTTCATTTTTGTGTGCATCATACATACAGTTGGACACTATGCCATGGTTCTCACAGTGTAAACCTGAAACAAGGAATAAACCATTTAAAGAATTGTCATAATCACCGTGTTGATCTTGTTTAATAAATACATAGATTAAATTGAAAATGCATCTGTTAAGATCATCTTACTATAATTGGTATCAAGCACTTTCGCCTTATCTGCCCTCTTTTGTTACCAGATATATAAATTTGATAATCATCAAAGCTCATCACTAAAAAGTTTTCAAATTTTACAATTCAAAAAGACACCTTTACTTAGCTTAAAGTACTGGCTTTCTAAAAATGTACAGTATGTGTAATTAATGTTTTGCAACAAATAATTTAGGACCAATAATACTGTATACTGAGGTAATCCTGTTTTTCACACTGACAGGTACCTGTGCACATTAATTGGGTCTATAAGTTTCTAGGTCAGATTTATTTGGTCCCTGCACATACGTTCCCTTATGTACTCCATTCTAGATTACAGACACGTATTTCTAAGCAAAATACCCTAATTTTTGCCCAAAGCAAAATTCATTGAAAAAAAATGAAATAAAGAGTGAAAGACATCCTGTATACACATGAACACTTAACGCCATCTGCATTTCATGGTTTAAAAAAAGTGCATACTGTCACAGGTGCAGTCAAGAATGACTCAAGACGTTTGCGAAAAGACTCATAACCGGATACATCATACATGTGGCTAATAATAATTAAAGCGGGAGGTGCATTTTTCTACCTGTAATATCACGCAGTATCTAGTAGCACAACGATCACCAGGCAACGACTACAGGTAGATGATGCTTTCATGCACGGATTCCTAAATATAATAACCATTATGCAAAATCACGCACAGTCATAAAGAACGTTACATACCTGTCATAATAGAATAATAATTGGGATAAGATGAGCTCGGAAAATTCGGTCGCATTTTCGTCGCGCGGGCACCTTGCATTTCTATCTGTTTGAAGGCAGATAGGTTCTCTCTGTCGGCGTAATCCCATCTCATGCCGTCCACGAGTAGAAGTAGTAGCTTGTTCGCTGACAGGGTTACCCTCAGCGAACACGTTATACACAGAAACTGAAATACAAGCAGGCGCCATCGCTCAGAACTCGCCATTCTGTCGTGTTGTCTTGTTTCTATTTCTTTACGTGAATTAGGTCAGGTCAGATGAAGGAAAAGGTGAAAGTCGTGACGTTACCATTGTTTCACTTTTATTTTTTTATTTTTTTATTTATTTATTTTTGATGAATATAATGATTATAAATTCCAACACAGGTTATAAAAATATATATTTTGGTTATAACATCAATCTTTTAAATCAATCTAAACAACGACAGTCATCTTTTCATTTGTTCGTTCTGTAAAGTTATATATATATATATATATATATATATATATATATATATATATATATTATAATAATGGAAAAGTTATCCATATTATGAGTCTATTCTTATCTTACCGTGCTGATAATGTTGATAATGTGTGCAAAGGTAGTGGTGGAGACATTGGCGTTACTATAATAAACGAGGACAATTAAAAAAAGCAGAAGATGCGGATCCAATAGAGCTTGCAGCGGAAATTTGCCCAAATGCAAAAAGTTAGAAGTAGAATAAATCTACGACGAATAGATCCTGACTACGCCGCGGGTGAAAAGGAAGATATAAATTACCCGACATATGTCTTCTGCGACGAGAGAAAAAAAAAAGAAGAATAAATACGTTTAGGGATGGTACTGAGTTCAACAAAGCGAAACCGCAAGTGACACGCGCAAACGCCTTTTAATATCAATGTAACCAGTTAAAAAGTATAAATATCATGTGGGAATATATTTAGTTTGTATGTACAGGTCTTGCTTGTTACTATAATTTAGGCTAAGATGGCTATATTTACATGCACTGTAGGTCACTTAACGTCATACGGAATTGCATACTCTACTTAAAGTCGCCTCTACCTGTTGTCAAATTGCCACACGGAGAGTGCAAGCGAGTTGTTATGAAAGTTGCCTTTTGAACTGAGGGTATTACTGCTGGTGTCAGAAATCACAGGGCCGTAGCCTCCGGGGGGGGGGGGGGGGGGGGGGGGGAAAATGGGGGGGAAAAAAAAAAAAGGGAAATTGGGGGGAAAAAAAAAAACCGAAAAGGAAAAAAAAAAATT